CTTACTACAATAAATCATTTGTGAAAATTTGGTGAACTTAGCTAAATTAGTTTTTGAGTTATCGTTCGGACGGACGGACGGACGGACGGACGGACGGACGGACGGACAGACAAAGCTAAATCAACTCAGAATTTGACGCTGATCAAAAACATACACTTGAGTCTATATCTAACACCGTTATTTCTTAGCGTTACAAACGGTAAGGCAAATTTAGTATACCCTTCGAACATACGTTCGTACGGGTATAAAAATGAAAGAATACAATAGAATACACACGCAAACTTATAAATAAAAATAAAACATTTATTATTCATATTTATGTGAATATTGCTCTTCTTTGTTCAACTCAATTTATACAAGAGACTGAAGGATAACACTAATAACATACCATTAAAAGATAATTTTTTTTTTGCTTTTTTTTAATGGAAAGAAAATGTTACACATATCCATAAAGTATTAAACTTTTTAATTTATGATGTGGTGTAGACGTGCACATACGCACACATACATACATATTATGTGTATAAACTTGTATAAAATATTTTGATTTTTCGATTTAAAATGAATTATTTTGTTCTATATCAGATTCTGAGGCAAATTTTATATTTCTTTTCTTGATTTTCTAGAATTAATTTTAACAAATTTAATGATAAACTACTTTAGCTATATAGAGTAATAAATTTCTAGGATTATCTAAACACACGTAATTTAGAAAGTGAATCGTTTGTTTCTTTTGAATCATTTGTTCAAGGACGGATTTTTAATATTCAACGGTTATTTCAGTTTATTTTTTATAAAATTGAATGGTTTGTTTAAGATTAAATTTTGAAAGTTTGTTGTTTCAATATTGAAAAAAAATTTTGTTACATATTACATGTAACTGAATTTCGACAGTAGAAATTTCAAACCGCTAGGTCTTGTCTTAATTAGTCTTTCTAGGCAGACTAAAATTGGCAATTTATTCTGTACCGTTCATTTTAACTTTCCAATATATTGAAATTCACTAACAATCTTTATATTGAAACTTACAACTTCACAACGAGAACACAATATTAACCGCTATCAATAATATGGACTATAACATTATAACTATAAATATGAATTTTGATATAGATTTAAAATTCATTTCCTGTTCTAATAATTTTGATAGCGATTTCGTGGTCTCGAAATTCATTTTGAAAACTATTCAATTCGGTTGAATTGAATAAATAATTTTGCTGTTGAAGCGAAATTTTCTTCCCTATAACAACCATAACTCAAAAACTCGATTTCTAAAATTAATGTTTTACAATATGTGCTGTAAAATATGAGAGCGAGAGAAGGATTGCATCATCATTAAAATTCTTTGGGAAAAATGAAAGTAAATTTAGAGTAAATTCTTTATTCAAACTATAAATCAAAAAATTTTTTGATATTTTATGAACATTGGACATACGCATTGTGTATTATTTATGACACTTTTGATAGATAACGTAGACCGATATTGCGAAGAATATACAAAAACATTAAAGTTGTAATCCATCTACACAAAATACATATTAAAAATTTTCCTGTGACCGTATATATTTTACATTTTTACCGACCGTATTGTGTAAACAATAGGTAGGTTATGTGATGGCAACAAATTTTGCATATCGAGTTTTCGGTGGGAACGTACTTCTCCATAGTAGGGAAGTGTAAATAAACTATTTTTAGCAACCTGTCGGTCTGTCGGTCTGTCGGTCTGTCGGTCTGTCGGTCTGTCGGTCTGTCGGTCTGTGTGTGCACGCGTGTATCTCAAGTTCGGCTGAACCGATTTTGATGAAATTTTATATGTAAGTTTGTTTCCACCATGGCACGGATCGATCAACTTTTGGTATATATCAGGCCTTGGGAACTGCACTTTTTAGCGGGCCTGTTTTACATTTTTGAACATTTTGAAGAAAATATTCAACCGATTTACTTGAAATTTTATATATAAGCTCAGCTCGACCGTCCGCAAAAACTCGTATATTTTGGAAGAAATCAGGCATCGGCCAGATATAGATTTTTCTGTATATAAAGAGAAATAATCAACCGATTTCATTGAAATTTAATATATGAATTCCTCATATTAAAGCAATGAACATATAACTTTTTTGGAAAGATCAGGGCTCGAGAACTGATTTGCGGGCCGATTTTACATTTTTCACCATATCCACAGAACAAATTGATGGAATTTCTTGGAATTTGGTATTTGAGTTCTGGTTGTAACCGAAACTAGCTGGCGAGCATTTCAGGGAATTCGGGTAGCACAAAGCGAAACTCTACTAAGAGCCAAATTTACATTTTTCTAAGCATGTTAACTATAAGCTTACTAATGTCCTAAAAATTGGAAAGGAGTATTTAACAGACATTTTTATAATATTCTGTAACACTTTCATTTAACTAGACAATACACAATGCGGTCGGTTATGTGCTGACCACATCAGATTTTTTTGTTTGTATGAATGTCATGAGTTATATTTTATATCAATATTTTATTTAAATTGTGTCCATATAAGACAGACTTATATGTCCCATGAATGACGCTTGACTTATAATAAATTTTATTATTAATTTAAAGATGTATTCCTACTATGTAAGTGTTTAAAAAATTGCCATTAAATAACATCATTTTTGTACACTCGTCGTTCTCAATCAGAAAATAAATCACTTATGTATCGAAAGCCTTTTATTTATTCTCATTTAGCAAACATGCCAACAAAATTCTAGTTCTAAAAAATATAATTTATAATTTTCTTTTATTAAAAACTACGATTTAAAATTAATTTCATAGCACAAAAACAAATTAAAAATTTTCTAAAATCTCATAATAAATACCATACTTAATGTGAAACCAAAAGTATGCGGCTCAGCGTCAGTAAAACTCAATTCACCAAAATAAACATGAATTGAAACTAATTCTAATGTGTGTGTATGTGTATACGTACATTTATATATTTTGTTTAAATCAATTTTTACTTGAAACATTCCTGTTTTTATTGCAAAATCGCTATGCAATACTATTCTTATCAGTATAATTTAAAGAATTTTCCATTACTACATGGTATTAGGCTCTCATGAAAAGATCATAAAATTCTAAATAAAAACCATACTCGTAAAAGTTCATTTTAAGTAGAGAAGATCGAAAATATATTATATACCAGTATAACACTAAGCAAATTGTAGTGAATGTAAACAATATCGTATTAGATTTTTGCATAATAAAATTAAATAATATTCTAAGAACGATAAGAATGCAATAAACTTGAACTTTTCTTTATATGTTTTCGATTTCGATTGATTATTTACACCTTATCAGTCAATTACGAATTGTAATTGAAAGAAATATGAGGAATTCTTTAGAACTAACTATTTTATAATATTATATTATGACCTAATAAATAAATAAATAAATAAATAAATAGATTTGAAATTTAGATTCAATTTCATGAATAAATCATTAATTTTTTTGCTAATCGAATTGCATACGATTTTGTGTGATGGTACCATATTCCGCAAGTCTATTTTATGACGGAAATGCGTTGCACCATGATAAGAAAGCATAAATATACTATTTTTAGCGAAACATAGGTCTGCTTGTCTATCAGTTTGTGTGTCCACACGTGTCGTAAGTTCGACTGAATTGATTTCGGGAAAGGATTTGATCTTTTTGTGGAATATACTAGATTTCTGGATGTAACTATTCTTTATTACATTTTTCTGAAATTTTATATATAAAATCCAGTTGAAAATAAAACAAATGTCATATAGATTTTTTCTCATATACAGAGAAAAATTCAGACCGATTTCCTTAAAATATATTTTAAATTTGAAAACATTAAAATGAAATAGAAAATTTTGCTGAGATAACAGGGTTCCGAAATTCACTAAGCTTTCACTAAGAGGCGATTTTCTAATGTTACACATGTTAGGAACTAATTTATGGAATTTCAAGAACTTTAAAAGTTTCCAAACGAAATTAATAAGGAAACTTTTCAAGGAAATCGGACCACGGAAAATTAATCTCGATAAATGAGAACCAATTTTTACCTTTTCCTTTATAGAATTTAAAATAAATGTTCAAGGGAAATTTCCTAATCTCATGCAACACTTTTTTCGGTTATATGCGGTTCATGCCGATTTTTTTTTTAATTTATATATAAGATATGAATATTATTCTATTATATTAATTAATTTTCATATTAAAATATTTTTGATTCTTAATGACAAAGTTTTAAAAATTTGTCAACAAAGACCCTTTAAATACAGATTTCTCTGGCAAATAATCAAAGTATAGTTAAAACCAAAAGCTCTTTGAAATATCTATTCCCCTTCTATTCAGGCATATAACTTCTAATGCTGGTTTAATTCTCGACTTCTAATAAAAGTTGTAATAATAATATTGTTTAAAATAAAAATTTGACTAAAAATTTGCAATTCATTTTATTGCACCTTTAACATAAAACTTCTTCCTTAAAGACTTATTTGGAAAGCAAACTTAAATTCTCATTATTAACTATAAAGTTAAATCCCTTTTTATTGCTGAAATCATGTTATGTAAATTATATAGCATATAATCCAAAAATATAAATTTAAGTAAATATTGAATTTAAGTTTGCTAACATTAAACGTATTTAATATCTTCCGATATAACATTATTACGATAATAATACGATTTGATAAAACTTTAATCTTTAGTCTAAAGTGCTTATCTAGTACATAACATTAAAATTATAATCAAATTATGTAATATAATAGAATTTTCATTCACATTTCCTTATCAATTAATTCATCAAAAAAATTCATTTATAAATGAAGGTATTATAAATTATTAAGGTCATTATTGTATTTCAAGTCCAAAAAGAATTCAGCAACAAGAATGCCTACAAGAAATAATTTAATAAATTTTATTTTAATATTTGCAATACTTTGCAATTTTAAATTTATTGATAGTGAAATTATTACAAATCCGAATTATATTGATTTTAAAACATCAGAAGAATTGAATAATATTGTTAACTCGATAATATTTCCGGGAACAAAATGGTGTGGTCCAGGTGATATTGCAGAAGGTTATGATGATTTAGGTAAATGATTATTATTTAAAATTTACATAATATTATTTTAAATTCCAAATTATGTTATAAACTCTTAGGTATATTCAAGGAAACAGATATGTGTTGCAGAGATCATGATCATTGCGATCACATACCCGCTGGTGAAGAAAAATGTGGCATAGAAAATAAGTACTACTACACAAGGTATTTAATATAAGAAAATAATTGTGAATATTATTCAATTCAGGTCCTGAAAGTAAAAAATGTTAGATTTATTTCTAAAACAAACAATAAAATCTAATAATCTTTTAATTCTTCTCAATATGTAACGAACTTTATTATACAAAAAATATTTTTCAATTTTAGCAATTGTAGAATAATTTAATTTATCAAATTTCTGAACTTTTATCAGAAAAGTTCGGTATTTTGTTATTCTGTTTATTAAAATATTTAAATTTATTTTTTTTTGACCTATAGGTTACATTGTAAATGTGATAAAAATTTCTTTGAATGCTTACATAAATCCACCGATATTGCAGCATATTTTGTTGGACAAGCATATTTTGGAGTATCAGGACAATGCTTTCGAAAAGATTATCCAATAAAAGATTGTATAGAATATGAATCTGTGTAAGTTTAATATTTTATATGAATAATTAAATTTTCTGTCTCTAATAAAATATTTTCTTTTGTAGATTTCCTGATAAACGTTGTGTCAAATATAGCTATAATGAAAATGAGCCACAATTTTATCAATGGTTTGATTTACCATATTATTTTTCGAAAAAATTTCCTGATTTAAATGGTTCAGAGAATGGAAATGTTACTGATTGTACATAAGCTATATTATAAAAATTCAGATAGTTGTCAAATTGTGCGAATGTTAATGTATAGGAACTATTTATTTATTTACAGTATTAAACTATGATCGTTTTAGTTGTTTTAAGTTAGTTTTTACAATGTTTAAGATTTAAATTGCATTCTAAAATTTATTTTGGAAAAATTATTACGGTTTAAAATTAATAACAATTTTGTTGTAACAATTTTTGAAACAATGTTTATCGCAATTAATAAAATTAATTTGTCATGTTTGCAATAAAATTTACGATATGTAAGTTACGATAAATAAGTTTACATAATAAAAACTATATTAATGCTCAATTTATTTTTATATCGTGATTAATTTACTTGAAAATAAATTTTAATAGGTTTATTTAAAATCTATTTATTAAATGAATTTACTGATAAAGTTTTTAAACTAAAACATGATTTTTAAAAATTTTCTATTTCACGGAATAATTATCAAATTACTGTTTAATTTCCATTCTTATGCGTTAAAGATAATATTTCCTGGAACGAAATGGTGTGGTTCTGGCAATAAAGCAGAAAGTTTTAATTACTTAGGTTGTGCTCATCTTAATACTTTGTTATTTTAAAAATATATAGAAAGAATTTAATAATTTAAATGTTTTTTTGACGATACTGATGCTTGTTGTCGTGCACACGATCATTGTGATCACATACTTGCTGGAAAAAGTAAATGTGGCCTACAAAATAAGGGTTTATATACAAGGTAAATATGGATAATTGAATAAATGTATCAGAAATTTTATATTTAAATTAATAAAATTTTTTAATTTATATATATACTCATGTAGATTGCATTGTGAATGTGATAAAGAATTTTTTGAATGCTTACATAAGGTTGATTCTTTAACATCGAATTTAATTGGTAAAATTTATTTTACAATAACAAAACAATGTTATCGTAAAGATTATCCAATAATAAAATGTAAAGAAAGTGTTAATATGTAAGTTAATTTTTAGTGGAATGATAAGTGCATGGAACCTTAAGATTTTTTTGTATATTATTCTGTTTTTTCCAGTTTAACAAGTGAAAGATGCATCGAATACATTTATGACAAAAGTAAATCAAAAATTTTTCAATGGTTTGATTTACCATTTTACAAATTGAAAGTTTTCCCTAATTTAAATAACTCAACATCGGATGAATCCGAAAATTGTTCTTCATTTAGTTTCTTTTAAGATTTTTTTTATAGCTTTATTTATAGCTTAACAGACAATAAAAATAAAAGTACAAATAAATTTAAATTTTATTTTGCAAAATTTCCCATAATACATGTGTATAGCAAAAGCAGAACTTTTACAAAAAGAATGATGCAATAGAACCTTTATTGTAGAAATGCAGATATGACAGCTTTTGTATTTGTGTGTTCTAAAGGAAAATACATTTAAACTGGATCCTGTAATTTAATTGAAGAAAAATAATATACTTTACTTATAGTTAATAGGAAATAACGCATAACAAAATAACAATTTAATTATATTCAATCGTTATATATTATCGGTCAACAATAATACTTGTAATCACAGTATTATTATAATAAAATAAAATACGCCGCCGGGAGCTAAATCAATAGCCACAGGAAAAGTATTTATCAAGTTATTTTTATACAATTATAAATTAAATATTCTTTCTTTTCTGTTAATTCCTCAAAAACATTTCTGTTACTGTGAAATACACAAAATATTTTAATCTTTGACTAAAATCTACACAGAATATAAAAAATATGTCAAGGATGCAGACTATACAACCACACTTACATGCAAAACCTTTTATTTACATTTTGTTATCCTTATTATTTTTTTCTTTTTTCTCCTTCTGTCTTATATCATTTTTATTACAAATTAATCGGTTTCGTGGGAACACTTTGTGTGAGAATTGATGAATTAATATTTTATTTTCTCTTTTGTTTCCTTAATTTAGTTTGAATTTCCCATTTTTCGCTTTCTTTATCATATTTTTCTCTTTATTATATTTTGTCTGTTTTCTGTCTACTTTTTTTTTCTACTTCCAATCCAATATTCTTTTTCATTTTTCCTTTTTGATATTTTCTTTTTTTTTCGTTTTTGATTAAAGTTAATAAATTTTTACCCATGATACCACTTATAAAATTGGTTTTGTATTGAGACATGTAAAATGATACAAAAGGCTTAAGGCCTATAATACGAAAAAAAAAAATAATTATTAGGTATGTTTAAAGTTGTTAAAGTGATGATATTATTTTACCAACGTTTCATGTTCAAAATGGCAAACATGCCTACTTATAATTTGCAAAAGTATATATTATATATTGCTTTGTATATACAGGGTGTCTGGTATTTACATGCATTGCTATATACCCTTTATACCAATGCTATGCAAAACTTTTGAACGAAAACCATGTCAATAGCTCAACAGGTTCTCGGCTGATGTTATCAGTCACAGGACAGCGCGACTTAAAATTAATTTCTGCTTCTGATTTTTTTGCAATTTTTGAAATTTTAAGTGTGAATCCGTTCCTGTGTCAGATTATCAAACATTTTAATAGCACAAAACAACCGCTTTCTCATGGGTATCTGTATTATAGTATTTAAGAAATCATGTGAGTTTAAAGATTGAAACATTTAAATTTTTCAACTTTTAAATTTTTAAAAAACGTTATGGTATACCTAGCATTTAATGAGAAAAACAGAATCAATACAAATATTTAATCTTTGAACAAACTTATACCTGAATATTTGTGACAAGTTCAAGTATGAGTTTGTAACAGTGAGCTATGAACATTAAGTCCATGCAAAAATTTTACCTACTCGTAAGGGTCTAAACAATGGTACATTGTATTGAACTTAGATACGATGCACCCTGTATAAGGAAAATAATATGATAGCGTACAATTTCGTGTTTTATTTCTTATTAAAGCATAGCTTTTATGGTATTGATTGATATTCGAAAATAAAAGTTTTATTTTTATGTAAATAGCAAAATGCAAAATTTGTATAAAAAAAATTTTATTATTTTGCTACACAATTTTTTTTTTAAACCGCTTGCATGATTAATTTACTAATTGATTATCTTGTTCACTGCACGAATATTTAAAAGTTATATAAGCGGTTAACTTCATGTAAATGCAAAGAAACCTTATACTTTATATATGTATAGTATTATATATAAAGTATAAGTTTAATATTACACACCATGATAATATTTATATGAAAAAGGCTGGAAAGTAAAATGAATAATTTTGTTTTTAGAAAATAATGCCATGAATACGGTTCCAAAAATTAATTTTTCATAATATAATTTCAAAAATAATTTAAGAGAATAACTAATCATAAATTTTATGAAAATATAAATTAAATTTTTCAATTTAATTGTTAATAAATTAACAAATTATAAATAACATTTTTATGATTGATAAATAAAGTTTTGGAAGATATTCTCAGAATTTACGAAAGAAGGATTCGTTATTTCTCAAAATAGTTCAGCTATCGACCGAAATTTGGAATGAATTTCGAATTATTTTTGTTCAACTCTTTTCTATTATTTTACTTCTATTATCTATAAAACTATAAAAACAAATTATGCGTCACAAGTTATTCGAATTCAAAACCGATATTTTAATAATTTCGAACGATTTCATAGCGGTATAACAAATTAATCGCAAATTTTCAATTAAAATTTTATTAGTAATTATTATTGAGTCAATAAAATTAATAAAAGCAGCAGGGTTTCTTGCAAATAAATACAAACAACGTTTAATTATAATTATACTCTCAGTATATCTACATCAGAAAATCTTATGCAATTGACTGTAATAAATATTATATGAAAAACTTGAAAGTTATTGCACTTAACTAAATGGTTTATATGCCAGTATATAAGAAAAATATACATTTAGGCATACACATATAATATTAAGTAACATTAAAGTTTAATATTACATTAAACGTTCCAAAGAAAAATATATGAACTTCTATGTACTATATGAAAAAAGAATTGTATATATTATATAATGTAAGACTAAATAACAGAAAAGTGAGTCATAAATTAACTAGGCAGGACATCGAGTTTAAGTTAAAGAAAATGGAAGGATAAAGATATAAATTAATAAAAATAGTAAAAGAGGCTACGAAAAAAAATTTAATTAAAATTTATTGCGTGTATCGTTACTCTAACTGCAAGCACATTCAAACATTAGAATATAGATGCGTACAAACAACAAATCTACTATATTTTAATTATATTTATTGTTGTTGTAATCTCTGTGAATTTACTTGCAAAACGTAAACAATTTTTTTTTGATAAAATATAAAAAATAGTAAAAATTATTGCCTACTTTTAGGATCATTTTTTAAAATTATAAATATTTTTATTATTTTAGAATTTCCTAGAATAGAAGTTCTAGCTATATTTTAACTTTTCTTTCTGTTTTAGCTAGGCTATATGAAAAAAAAATTGTTGTAATAATTCTATGATTGTAAATTTTTTTATGAAATTCTGTTAAATCTTATGTGCATAAAAAAGGTCATCAAATTTAATATTAAACATTTTTACCATAAATTTTTTCTCTCTCTTACAGAAAAAATTATAATCTAAGTATTATAATCTAACTCCCAATTGCACACGTTTATATTATAAAGTTGTGTGATTGTGAGGAGTATTTTATACTCTTAATCTTATTATTTATTAATTATAATTTCTGTTCTCATATACGATCGCATTTTTAAAAACAGAAGGCATTTATTTATAAATTGCCCTCAATTAGTCCAAAGTAATTTGGAGTACTTTATACTATACTTGCAAAAGAATGAAAACTATTGAAATTTTGAATTGCTAAACATATAGTTTCTAATATATTCTAGTTATGAATAAGATTTTGAATAAAAATGACTAATTTAAAGCGAATTACATTAAACTCGATTTATTGTAAAATAATACAAAGTTAACAATATTATTCAAATTAATAATTTACTTAATATAATAGTATTGGGTATACACCAAAATGATTTACGATTTCGTTTTGGGAGTCTTTTTTAAAATTATAACCTTTAAAATAAATATCAGACAAAAAACAATAAAATCGCTAATTTAATTAAAAATAAATTTTGCGTGACTTTATAATATATTCTCTAAATAAAAATATTTCAATTAGATTACATTATACAAATACATACATATATTGTACGTGTATCTATATATGAATTTATGTATAGATATGTGTATTCCTCAGGTGTAAAATTTCGTTAAATACAAAATATAAAATATAGATTTACAACAAAAAGTTTAAATGGAAGTAATTATATGTAGATGTATATGTAAATATAAATTTTAAAAAGTAGTTTGCTACTTAGTTTTCTGCATGGATAATTTATGGTACCAATCAGAATGTTAATTATTATTTTTTTTTTCTCTAAAAATTCAATTAAATTTATTCACCTTTGAGAAGAAAATGGTATGTATAGAAGAAATATGAAAATATAGATAAGTGATATAATTTAATTAAATGGTTAGACCTATAATCTCTTGGGAAGAATAAAATAATTGTAATGGAAATCAATTATTTTATTATTCCACAACCACCACTTTAATTTTTCATATATATATATGTATATATAATTATAGCAATGGCTACATACATTATTATTAATATCATTTTCTTTATAATATCAATTAGTTACCACATAATATTCAATTTCCTGTGATACTTTGAAAATGAGAAGACAGCAAAAATTTTTGTTATTCGGATGGTAGGAGAGGATGAGGAAGGAAAAAAAAGAAAATTTAATTGAAAATTAATCATATGGGTTATAAAAATTATAATAGTTTTGAAAGGAAAAAAATACCAAAATAATTATGACTAAATCCAGTAATGATTTATAGACTTTTATTGATAATTAATTATGATATAAAGTTTAAGTATTGTAAATATGCAAGGTTTTGAAATTTTAAGCTAATAAATTAAAATTTGGCATAATCATTTTAATTTAAAGTACCCGTAGAGTGGGTAGATTGAAATGAAAAATAATCTTCTCCATAAATAGTTTTTTTTTATTAACTCAACGCATTTACCCTTGTGTGGTTTAAATTCAGTGTTTTTCATTTTAACATACTGAAAGATCGAAAATTAAATATGGACTACTAGATTCTGACCATACTGAATTCAGATTATATGGTATTCATATATCGCTGAAATTTGACTATG